TCCCTGGGTTGCTCTCCTAAAACAAATCATATTCAAGCTCCGGTGCCTTGCTTACCCCTGTGGGTGAGGGAGGAACAACCCAGACAGACTCCAGGGACGGTGAAGTGTTGCACATGGAATTTAAGGACTTAAACCAGTGGTCGCCAACCGGTGTTCCATGAGGTCCGAAAGGCTGGTGACCACTGATTTAAACTGTACATTAGGGGGGGAAAGCATCATATGTCAAGGGTAGTTTATACAAAAAAGTGGTTTACTCAATGTTTTTAACTGGGTGAGTGAACACTTCTGTACACAATATGAAATATTAAACTAATGAAAAGAAATAAAATTCCTATCGATCGTTAGCATGTAAAGTTATGCCATCAGCAAATTCTACAGTCACATGGGCCAAAGATCTGCCTTGGTGAATCCCCTTCTCTAGGTTATGGAACCCAGAAGCCCCGGGTATCAGTATCACCAGTGATACACACTATGCCCACATCTGTCACTTGCAATTAAAGAAGCAGACCTGGTAAAAGTTTCACATGGCAATGAAGGAAAAAGGCTTCACTTCTTTTACATGTCTCTTTAGGACCAAGAATCAAGAATCAAGCAGTCTAAGGAAATATTCAAATCATTACTGAATAAATGGTACTTGGCTATTCAGATCTTGAGATTGTGTATAACCTCAAGGTGATCTTGATCTTGTCACTTTTAATTATCTGATCCAGATTTGCTTACGGGGAGTAATAAAAAAAAAAAAGTCAGAGCCAACAATCACAACTGAATTAGAAAATGTATTAATGGGCCAAGACTTTAACGACATCATTTCACATCCAGCCAGGGATTTTTAGGGATTCAGATGTGCAGCATCCAAATTCCCCTTTACAGAATAGGGAGCCTTATTGTCCCGGAGTTATCTAAGACTAAAGGAATTCCATGTCCCTCCTGCCGTTCTCTCTAGCAAGGTAGGCAATAGAGTCCTCATGCTCTCAAGACTATCTGGGTTAAATTTCTCATAATTCTAGAGGGACAGCTACACCACTAATACCTAATGATCTGATATTTCCACACATCTCCCACATTATGTAAAAATTTTTATAAGAGTTTATTTGAGCCAAAACTGAGGACAACTGCTGGGGAGCAAGATCTCAATGCTCTACTTCACATCCTTGAGGTCCACACCAGAGTTCCGCTGGATGAGACAGGAAAGTAGGATGTCCTACAACCACTTGGCTTCCACATGGACTAGCACCATCTCATTTCCTTCTCTAAGTTACAGTCCAAGTATGCACCTATGGTTTCTGAACTTGGTAAATATTGATTTAAGTGGACAACCCTAGTGGTTCCATTCCTTACTCCTGTAATACATTTGTATTAAAACATAGATAAGTAACTGCAAATAAACTGTCTACAGAACCAAATTCAAAAAAGTTAAACAATGGCATTGTCAATCACTTTATCGCCACAGTAATATCGGTACTAAAATCTCTTTTTAGGCAAAGCCCCCAACACATCTGTGGTCAATACACATAAGCAGAAATGGGCAGATGTTAAAAGAATGAATGTAAACAACCTGACAGGAGAACTGTTTCCCTAATGTATGCCATATTTATTGATATAAAGGAATGAAAAACATTTTTAAATGTCAAAACTCTGATCTCCAAGACTAAATCTAGACTTATCTATAAGTAAATATATTTTCAAGTAGCCAGAGTACAATGTATTTCCCCCCTAAATTCTAAATTCTGGATCTTGTTTCTCCTATCACCAGTTCCTTATGTTAGATTAAGAATATAGTTCCTAGAATAAAGAATCCTCTGCTTTTGGGGAAAAGGCATCTGTTTTTTATTCAAAGGTGCAGAAAACTGTCTTAACTACACCTGTGTCTGGGTTTATAAAACATGCCCTAATGCATACCTTTAAATTGTAGATTGAAAACAACCATAGAAACCTTTGCATAAAAATCTGTGGCTTAGAAGGGATCTCATGATTACTCAAGAACCTCAAGTTCCACAGTATTAGGAGGAGCTAAACAGAAAGATACTCCACATCTAGTTCACTGTATTAGTAAGCAGCTGAAATTTGTTTAGTATTTTAAAGCAAATAATATAAAGTAGATAATAACAGTGGGTCTCAGTTATCATTTTGCTACTTATTTAGGACTTGATTAACTTGGCAACTTTTATAAAAACATTTACTTCACAACATGCAACCTAAAAAACAGTAAATGTAGCTATGCCACTGTCAGCAAGGCCAGCTTGCGTACCAAGCTGAGAATGATGGTGCCTGCCTAAGACTTAAACATTCAAAGATGTTTACAATCTGTGCTTTAAAGTTAAATTTGGTATGACCCAATTTTCCTTTTTTGTTCACTATATGTTAAAGTTCAATGGCTTTAAGCCGTGCAAAAGATCACTATGTCAATGTTTTGCTTATTTTGTGACAGTAAAAAAAAGTGCAAAGTTCAGCCCTGCCCCAGCTTTGCTTACAATCAGCGCCCTCTCACCTTGTAAAGTGTGAACGGCCCTTCCTTTTTGTACAGAGGATGAACTTTATTGTGTATTCTGTCTACTTGTGAGTGTAACATATTGCCAAATTTCTTGTTTGAATATATAACTGTAACACTACACGGTGTACATTTCCAGAGCCTGTGTATATTTCCAGTGATCTATTTCGCAAGCACATTTGTAACCATGTGTATATAATTAACAAACCCATGTATGCTTATGCCTGGGCAACTATTTTTTGTAACTCTTATGTAGATTGTCTCTAAACAATATGTGATCTTTATTTGGAATCCGAGTTTTAACTTTTTTCTCTAATAGAGTGCCCCAGGACAGGGGGGAAAAAAGATTCCTATGTGAAATTTTAAAGTCATTTAATCCATTTGTACACCCTGGAGATTTGGCAATATAACTTAGAAAGAATGCTACCTGAAGGGACTAAAATGTTGCTAATTCCATTTTCTATTCCACCCAAGTAGTTCCAGAGATTAGACAGAGAAGGTAAGAGTAAAGTAACCAGCCACTTTGTTGTGATCGGAGAAATGACAGGCACTTGATTTTCAAAAGATAATTTACTTCTGCTCCATAATACTTTCAGTGTAGTTTGGCTTGACTTTAACTAATGGCCATGTATGTCCCTCATCTTAGGTAGAATATCCAAACTGGTTTAAAATTACTTGGATGACCTATGTTTGTCACTGAATTTTGAAATAAGCCATCACTAAAAAATAAAGTGAGAATAACAATACAATTCATTCTCTGTGCCACACTTTACAATAAAACCAAAGTCCTTGTGCCGAAAGCGCTTTACTCAGGGCTGTGCACTTCTCTTTTTAGCCCGAGACAGATACTATCTAAAAACACAAATTGTACTTAAAACCCGTAAGATCTCTATTCAGGGTGGGACAAAAGTAGGTTTACAGCTGTGAGTATGCAAAACAGTTCATTCTTGCATTATTATTTATTAATTACTGTATTGTTTTCCACCCAAAGAACTAAAACCCTACTTTTGCCCCACCCTGAATAGATAGTACTTTCAAGTGGACCTACTAATACATAATATAGTATTAGTTTGTTTTCTTTCGAAAGTATAAGCAGAAAAGTCTCTGGATAACACTTTCTCTACATGCAAAATAAAATAGTCTTGCACAGCAAGGCTGTTTCTGGACCTTGAGTTTGTGGGTACCATTTAGAAAAGGGAGCAAAATACAGTGGAAAAGTTGTGAGAAAAAATGGAAAGAACTAAATAAGAGGAAAAACATTAAGTTGCCATCATTGCCGGTTTTGAATGCTAGCAGAGAAAAGCCGATCAGATATAAAAGAACACACACACTACACTGCAGCCTCTCTCTCAGCTTTGCCAATGGTGACTACAAGCACATTTCTGACTAAAGGGGTCAGGATTTAAAGCTGGCTACTTTTCGCACAATTTTGCAAGTACAGCAGAAAAAAAGAGAATTTCTTAATTGTAGCTTACTCCTCTACCACCCCTCAAAAAGTGAAGTTAAAAGAGGAAAGCAGAATGGTAATTTTAAGGGATATTTAAAAAAAATCAATTCGTTAGACCCGTGATTATCATCCCAGTTTATCCACTCTAACCATAAGAACAGCATTATGTAATTAACAAGACAAATCTTTGAACTAGTATTACAAGCATGTCCCAGTAATTTTCCCCCTATTAAAATATTTTTTAAATGAAAATGAAATAACCTATCTTGGCCCGTTAAAGACTGCCAGCCCTTGCAATTATACGCAAGGAAGGCAAGAAGAATCTTAAGTGTCACATGCCAAGAACATATTTTCAGAAAATGAAGACAGGCAAGGCCCAAGTGTACGTGAGGCACACAGTAAAAAGGTATTTCTCCACCCGTGATCTTGAAATTACAAATGGAGAATGAGAAAGAATGAGTTTATATAAGCATGTGTTTCTCTATATTTTTATAAATATTTATATAATTTACCATGAAGACATGCAAGTAGTGTTATAGCAACTATTATACAATATAATACAGAAAGATGGGTCTTCCAATGTTACAGTTGCTTTAGGTAAACAACAAATATGTCTTATCTATTGCATTCCCCTGTCGTGCTTAAAAGCAGAGAGAAACTGAGTTTCCACACTAGGCTACAACTTTTATGGGAGACAAAATATGCCTCATTAGTGTTTTGAGGTTTGGGTTTTTTTGTGTATTTTTTGTTGTTGTTTGTTTTTTTAGAAAGCTCAACACAGATAAAGAGAACAAGATAAGTTCAGTGCAGCTTCAGGGCAACTTTGATGCAGCATTAGAATATTTTCACTCGGTGAGAAAATATATTTCTTTCCCCCCCAAATTCAACCACATTAGGTTTGGCAGCAAACACAAGTTCAAAAAGAAAGCACAGATTTTGCTAGAAGGCAAATTTCAACAGCAAGCAGACCAATTTACCTGACCTTAATAAGGTCTTTACAACATAAAAAAAAAAAAAAAAAAAGCAACAACAAAAAAAACCCCCACCAAAGTATAAAAAAAACACCCATTTTCAAAGTCTACTATGATTTAATTTCGCCTGATTCCTGTTAGCAGAAGAGTGCGATTAGAACAAATATGATCCTCTTTATAGCTCTGTAAATTGAGATTACATAGAAATCAGGTCAAGAAACCCAAATACTCAAACTAAAGCACAGGAGAAGCTGGTAAAAAACTTTAAAAGACAAACACTGAACCTAAATTTATTTCCCCAGATACTCATTCCTCACTGGCTTCATGTATAAAACACAAAGTTTAAGGATAATAAGTCTCAACAACATACCTAATTTCTTTCTACTTTTCTTTTTAAATCTCTAAAAGTATAAAGTCACATTTCACAGAACTGTACTTCCTTGGTATCATCTTGGAGGTTGGCATTAGAAATAGTTGGAACCTGGAAGAATTAAGGAATCAAGGTATTCTCTGGTCAGTGTTCCTTCCACAAGGAAGAAACTAACGGGGAAGGAGAATTCATCTACCTCAAAGGCATTGACCCCACGCTGCCCGTCTCTCCCTAAAGCACTAACGCCTGCAATCTAGTTCTATTTAGAATTTCCCTTCCATTACCTAAGTGTCATCAGACCATATGTAGACCATAGTGCTACAAAGGAAAACATTAGCATAGGCTGCGATAAGCATATTAAAATGTATTGGTAAAATAAGAGAGATCGGATCAGATGAGAAATGCTAATTTTAAAAAAATATGAAATCCAAGGAGGGTACCAGGAATGAGGCAAAGTAAAGGTGTGAACGCTCCATACAGATAGATTCACAAGCTAAGTATATGTGTATCAGCATTGGCTCCCCACTAACAGACTTCTTACATATTTTAATATTGGAGCAGTTCTGAATTCCAAAGTTGAGAAGTTTTGAATGAAAATATTAAAGCAGGAGGTTTCAATTTTGCTATATAATGTTTGAGGATAGTCGTGAAGAATAAAAAGGCCAAACCCTTTAAAATCCCATTCCATCTTCTATCTTTGACTCTTTTGTTTTAGAAGTAGATAAAGAAAAAAAAAAAAAAAAGAAAGAAAGAAAAGGAAGTTCATTTAATCAGTTTCTCCCTCTTGGATTTGCTAGACTGTCCTTCCTATGCAAAGGCATTGATTCCTGATCTGCTTGCTGCCTGCCTTAGGTAATTCCTTATCATATATTTACGTCTCTTTATAAATAATTTATCATGTTACTTTCTTTTGCAAGAGAAAATCAACACAGACTTTTAAAACAGACAGTAAGGGATGCACATGCATCAGGTCTGGGGGAGTCTCACACGGAGCGGCCTGGCTCCTATCTGCTGAGCTTACTGGCTGGCTTACTCTTCCCTGCGGGGGCCTTAGTGCTGGCCGAGCGCTGGTGGAGGCTGCCAGATCCCTTCAGGCCGTTCTTGCTGGGTTTGCAATGCTCCTGTTGGCAGGACCTCCTGGAGGAGGAGGACCCGGAGTGGCTGGGAGGTGACTTGCTTCTCCCCAGATGCGGGGATGAACTCCTCTGGTCATGGTGGGGCCGACCAGCCCTAGATGGTGAGGAACTGGACGTGTGAGGCAAAGAAGAACTTCGAGGAGAGGCACTGGGGCTCCTGCGAGGGACGACTGGACTCTTGGGTGGTGTTTTTGGGTTGTGAGGGGATCCTGGACTCTTGCACTGAGTAGTGCTCCGGGGTTTCTGAGATCCATTTTGAAGAATTTGGGCCAGGCGGGAGAAAAGGTCTGAGTCAGAATTGCTACTCCCTAGGACTCTGTATCTGCGGAGCCTTAAAAGAACAGAGAAAAATTATTTTCATTTTAATTCATTTCAAGTGTGCCTATAAAGTCCCAATCATAATTTGTATGATCTGAGTCAAAATTCAGGAAACACAGGATACAACTACTCTTTTACATACCAGTTCTATGACCCTGGACAATTATTTAATCTCTCCTAGCTTTTAATGGGAATATTATCAATCTCACCACGGTACTGAGCAGCCAAGGGCAATACCCAAGTGAAGTGCTTAGTTGGAGGTCTGCCATTTAGAAGCACTTGGATGTTGTTAGTTCCCTTCCTCCTAGGCATGTTTGTTCTTCTGGTTTTAGGATTAAATAAAACATCTTTAGCATAAAATGCCTTAACATTTTGTTTAAGGCTTCTAGGACAGGAATTGTGCATACATATACAGGCAGTCCTCAGGTTACGTCGGACTTGTTAAATGTCGTTTCGTGGTAACATCGCCATCTCCCATTTATTAAAAAAAATATATATATATATGTTTTTTATCATCTATTTACCACAAGTAAAGGTCAGGAATTGTTATCTTTAAAAATTTTTTTTTTTTACTGTTTCACTTCATTACTGCTGTGTATGTGCTCCATGTGAGTGACGTAGGTGCTTTTATGTAGGTGGGTTCCGACTTACAGCAAAAATCACATTATATCACGCCATAGGAATGGATCTTCGAAGTAACCCGAGGACCTACTGTACGCAAATATTAACCCCACAATAGGTTTTCTTTTCTTTTCTTTTTTTTTTTTTTGCACTGGCATTGTGTATTGAACACTCTTCCCCACCCCACCCAGGATTCTTTGTACATTGCAATAAATAGTGCAATTTTAGCAGTGGTAAACAAGGAGCGTAGGAAGTCCCACCTCCTTCATGTGTGTTTTATCCATGTGCACTCTTCCTAGGTAGCACCATTCTCCCCAGGTGCTGGGTGAGAGACAGACGGGGGTGGGGGTGGAGGGGAGGGGAGAGGTCTGAGCATGTGTGCTCGCCTTTTGGCCTCTGGAGATGCCTGGAGGGTTCAGCAAACAGCCCTCCCCATTCCTATGGCAGACTGCTCTTGCTCTAAGCCAACATCCTAGAAAGGCAGGCCTGGTGGTGGGGAAACATGGTCACTGAGCCACAACCTGTGACTGCATCTTCCAGCTGACATCCTGCTGCCTGTCAACCTCCCTCCAACCTCTGAGGCTAAGGCTGTGTTCTCGGAGGCCTCATCCTAAAGGCCAACAAGGCAAGGGAGCGGGTGAACAGACTGCTCATGCAGAGGTGCTGCCCTCTGCCTCCGACACAATGTAAGTTTTCAACATGAACTGTGTTCACCAATAGCAGCAACTGTAGAAATGGTTATTTCAGCTTCATTTAATAGTTTCCAAAATAAAAGAGTCCTCACTGATTCCTCTGGGTCTCAGTCTCTGCCCCGATGGAAGCCTGAGATTCAGGAGAGCTGAATTTGGGAACTGACTGCCCCTCTTTAACTGACAAGTCAGAACTCCAAGTCTAGAAAGTATTCACATGAATAGCAATGTCTTCTTTGCCCTAAATGTTTTTTTTCTGTTTTAGCTTAAAATCCACTCAGATTAAGAATTTAAACCTCAAACTGCTGACATGCCACTCCTTACAGAAGGAAGTGGGAGAAGAACTTCAAGGTTGTATTAGTACGTACAGAATGCAGGTACATAAATAGCCATCCTTCATCATCATCATCATCATGGATCAGCAATAAATTACTGATTTTTTTCTATGAATTTTCTTTCCTTCTCTTTCCCCACTATCTACTTATTCTGAAAAAATGACACGAAACTCATTTGGGTTAAGTCTATTCTCAAGGATCTTAGAGTAAAAATTCTGAAATGGAATAAAAAAATTCATTTGTGCCAGGACCTAAGTGGGAAAGTTTATACTCCTTCTGAGTATCCAGATGGGTCGACTCTACTATCTGGCACAATGTCACAGGCTTGACTTAGTTACTAAGTGCTACTTTTAGGAACACCATAAAATGCTAAATAATGAATGATAATTAAGATTTGTTTGTTCTCAGTACAAACAAGTTCAAGCCACAGATATGCCATCTCTATGAAGCATAGATGCCAAGCAGAAGAAAAAGGGGATACGTAAATATTCATAAAATGACTGCTGTTTACTCATCACCATTCTTCCTATGGAAGTCTTATCCCATTGGCACTTTAAATCTAATGTTTAGTTACCCTGAACCTGAAACCTTAGGGCAAGTCAAAACTAAACTTTCTGTAGGTAAAGGTAACAAGTTCTGCTGTGTAATGATACAAATAGAATCTTACTTTAATATGCTTCAGATATCCTTATAACAGGAAGAGGCCTATGATTATATTACCTCGGTAATTATATTACTAGACATCCTGCTAGTTTGCTAGTTTTCATGTAAATGCACTAGGTGTACCGGTTAATAATGCAGATTTTTTTTCAATAAATGGAGTTGTACATATGTTGATATATATGCAATTTGATATGTATGCTATTTTGTTGTATTGACAAAAAGCTTCAAAACTTATGTCAAATTTTCTGAAGGTGTTAACATCATAGATATTTTTACCCTTAACAATGTTGAATTTCATGCCAAAAATAGAACATGTGCAGGAAGTTTTAATTCATTACTTTATTTTGAAGAAAAGTGCTGCTGAATACTTCAGGAAGCTTATGGTGAATATGCTCCATCCATTTCAAGATACTTGTGTTACAATGGTTTATACCTGTGAATGCTTTAAAAGTGATGATTTCGATGTGAAAGACGAAGAACATCCAAGCCAACTGCAAAAGTTTGAAGACCAACAATCAACAATTACATGCATTATTGGATGAAGATACGTGTCAAACTCAAAAAAAAAAAAAAAACTTGCAGAAAGATTAACATTGCTCAACAAACAATTCCAAGCATTTACAAGCAATGAGAACAATTTTAAAGGAAGGAAAATGGGTGCCACATCTACTGAACAAAACCCATTTTTCAGTGCCAGTCACAATTCTATGCAAAAAAGACTTTCTTTCATGCCATTGAAGCAACATTTTACTGGTGACCTTTTGGTTTTCCATTTGTGTTTTGTTCAGTAGATGTGGGACCCATTTTCCTTCCCTTAAAATCTTTTCCAGCCCTAGCTGGTTTGGCTCAGTGGATAGAGCACTGGTCTGCAGACTGAGGGATTTAGGGCTCGATTCTGGCCAAGGGCACATGCCAGAGTTGCGGGCTTGACCCCCAGCATTGGGAGGCATGCAGGAGGCAGTCAGTCAATGATTTTCTCTCATCATTGATGTTGCTCTCTTTCTATCTATCCCTCTCTGAAAGCAATAAAAATATATATTAAAAAATATATATTTCCCATTACTTGTAAATGATCAGAAATTGTTTGCTGAGCAATGTTTAATCTTTCTGCAAGTTGTTTTTGAGTTTGTTTTTGGTTGGCTTGGACGCTCTTTGTCTTTCACATAGAAATCATCACTTTTAAAGCATTTAAACCAGGGTTCACAAGTTTCTTGAGATGGAGCATGTTTACCATAAGCTTCTCGAAGTATACAATAACTTTCAGCAGCAGTTTTCTCAAAATAAAGTAATTGATTAAAACTTAGAGTCAAGCAGACACAGAAACAGCACTATACAGTTAATATAGGAAGAGCATACAGCATTACCTGGCTTCTACTCCGGGCCTCGTGGGTGGCTTTCCTGGCGGTGGCCGAGGCAAGAACTGTGATGAAGTGGAGATATTGACTTGATCTGTGTTGACCCATGACACTGGCCTTGGAATTTTGCTCTTTCTGGACTGGGAGATGATAGGTGACAAAAAGCTATCTTCAGCTGCCCTGCTCAGGGGGGTGTCTATCGCCAGTCTTGAAAAGGGAGTGAAGACTTCCTCCTCAGAAAAGGGAGCAGGAACAGTAGCTAGTCTCTCCTCCAGCAATTTATCAGAGGCACTTGAGAGGTCCCCAAGAAAAGACTTGAGTTGCCTTTTTTCCACCAGAAGTTTGAGTAGGTCTGGCTGATAAGCTTTCTTTTGGAGGAGCTTTTCTTTTGCAGAGAGTGGAGAGGATGAGTCAAAAGCTGAGTCTATCTCTTGTGCTAAAACAGGGATTCGGCTGTGTCTAGTTACGAAGGATGACCTAACCACATCCTTCCGGGATGAGGGACACTGTTCACTCTCTGAAACACTATTAAATAGTTCTCTATTTCTAGGGTCAGTTTTCTCTTTCTTATCCTCTTGGTGCAAAAAAGCAGAGAGGTCTCCTTGAAGACCAGGCAAGTCTTCACTCTTGATGTCATCATCGTTAGATAGCTTATGTTTTTGCATTGTTGCCACCGGGCCTATCTGTCCTTCAGCATGTGGGTCAATGCCTCCTGGAGAAATTTCTGAAGTTCCAACTGCCAGAAGCTTCATTATCTCATGATTTTTGTCTTGATTTGGCATTACACTAAAAGTCTGTGTCTTTGTCATTTCAAGAGGCTCAGTAGTCGCTGAGTGATCCCTTTCTAGGTCTCCTGGGAGAGAGGAGATCTCAATATAATGCTGCCCTTTACTTAACTTCTCATCTTCATTATCTGACCCTAGCAGGCTTTTCTCTTCAGTCTCCCTAGGGAGACTCTCAAACTCTCTCACAGCCAGTCTGTTATGGTCAGGAAGGTCTTCTGGTCCTTGAGATTTTTCACACTCTCTAGAACTGAGTAACATGTCAGGACCAATATGCTCCATCTGCAGCCCCAAGTCTGTTCTACTTCCTCCACTAGGAGGTTCTCCCTCTGTCACAGCTAAACCAGAGAAGTTCTCCCTTGGAGAATAAAGTTCCACAGTGGGCTCCACGGGCTGAAGGTCCTTCTTCTCTGGCAGCTGACCACAGTGAAAGCTTCCTGAAGTCGACTGTGTAGATGCCACAGAAGGTCGAGGAATTGTAATCTGGAGAGAAAGAAGAAAAAAAAGTTAAAAGGCAATAATGTAAAATGTAAGTGAAGATGCAGGATTTGAGATTTAACAGCTCAAATTCCAATTTATAATAGGAACACCTATGTTGGCCGGGTCTGCCTAATTCATACTTAAAATGAACAATTCTGAATAAAAATGCATGACACCCAAGCTCAGAAACTATAAAGCACAGTCTTCTTCGAGGTTCATCCCTGCATTTCTATAGTTCATCCCTGCTTTGTGTTCTGAAACACTGACTTCTGCAGACTGTGCTATCCCAGGCTCCCTTGTCTTTGATTTCTGAGTTTATCCAATAACCAGCACCAACATAGAATCTGAATTGTGGAGATGAGGGTCTGGGTATTAATTCTCTCTGGGAACTGCAAGGGACAACATTCCCTACCCAAGGGACTGCAAGGGACTACATTCTACCACTCCTGGCCTTAGCTCCTGTCACATGGCCCCACTCTCATAGATAGGACTCTTACCAGGTTTAATTAACAGCCTTTCTTTCTCCTCTTGCAGGACTCAAGACAGGAATGACTCTCTCTATTTAATGTGCCTACGGTCAGTTAAGGAAGTGATAGCATCAACTTTGCAAAAGTAAACTCTGAATTTAAGCCTCAAGGAGATAATCAAGATAAATATATCCTTCCCCAAATGAAGGAAATAGTAAGTTTTTACTTACTTAGACATACAAGTAAGTAAAAAAGTGATGCAGCTGACAGAGACTTTCAGTAAAGAAAACTTTAAAAAAAATTGTTTTGCTGAAACCGGTTTGGCTCAGTGGATAGAGCATCAGCCTGCAGACTGAAAGGTCCCAGGTTCGATTCCGGCCAAGGGCATGTACCTTGGTTTCTGGCACATCCCCAGTAGGGGGTGTGCAGGAGGCAACTGATCAATGTTTCTCTCTCATCGATGTTTCTAACTCTCTATCTCTCTCCCTTCCTCTCTGTGAAAAATCAATAAAATATTAAAAAATTGTTTTAATCATATTTTTATTGATTTCAGAGAGAAAGGGAGAGGGAGAGAGATAGAAACATCAATGATGAAAGAGAATCATTGATTGGCTGCCTCCTGCATGCCCCACATTGGGGATTGAGCCAATAACCCAGGCATATGCCCTGATTGGGACTGAAATGTGACCTCCTGGTTCATAGGTCAACAATCAACCACAGACCCATGCCAAATGGGCAAGAAAAATATTTTTATTTAAAAATATTTGAAAAAGGTCAAACATATTAAATATATAAATACAAGTCTTTCAATAACTTGAGAAAATGTTGCATATAGTGTAAGAGCTATAAGAATAATCTTTGTGGACAGGACAGTATTAATGGGAATGGGCAAAAAATACTAGGAGAAATTAAGCCAAGGCTTTAGAAAGCCTTTTGAAGGGAAGCACACCAGAATGCTATTGGAAAAATACTTGAACAACAGTGAGAACACAGCATCTAGTCAAAGAAAAGAAGAAACTGAATCTGGGAAGGTGGAAAGAGGGAAGAAATGGAAAGAGAAAAGGTGGGGTGAAAAAAGGGATACAGGGAAGGGACAGAAGTGGTATGGTACCTTCGTACAATTTGGAAAAGGATACTCTTCAAAGAGGAAACAAAGATGCACAGTTTGGCTAGCAAAGTTTGAGCTAGATTTCAGACTCAACTGCTCCCTTGGCTAGGCATGCAGTAAACAACCTATATAACTTTACAAAACAGTCTTGGGGAATTAGGAAAGACCAACTAACTGATTAAAAAAAGGAGGTAGCCTGGCCAGAATAGCTCAGTTAATTGTCATCCTGTGCATCAAAGGGTTGCTGGTTAGAGTCCCAGTCAGGGCATGTACCTGAGTAGTGGGTTTAGTCCCAGTCAGGGTGCATTCTGAGGACAACCAATCGAGCGCGTGCTCTTGCGCTCGCTCGCGCTCTCTCTCTCTCTCTCTCTCTCTCTCTCTCTCTCTCTCTCTCACACACACACACACACACACACACACACACCACACTTCCTCAGATGAAGATTATAAGATAAATAAATAAGAAGTAGGCATTTATTTTCCCATTTTGTAGTGCAGGTAAATTCCTACAGAGCTATTTATTCACAAAATCAAATTCTATTATCTTTTCTCATTGCTTTACACTTGCATGAGGAATTGTGTTCTAATAAAAAACATTTCAGTCTGGGGAACAATGCTATTTCTGGTGAGTTGGAGCAGAGGGCCACTAGATGATGATGGAATTTAAGAAAACCTGGTATTCCTAACATGTAAGGACTGATGTACCTGCTTGTGTCTACGGTTTGTGTACACAGTTTCTTACTGCCTCCATCTCTGGCTTTTCTGGAACTCCTGCCACTCACACAGCTGTGGGGACAGCACTACTTACTGAAAACAGCAGTGTAACAGGGTCTCCTGATGAATGCCCAAAATGAGAGTAAACAGCAGTTTCCTCAAAACATTCCTTTGCAGAGGACTTATCACAATTACCTTTAGCTTCTTGTTAAAATACAGATGCCACTCTATCCCAGACCTTCTGAAGCAGAAGTTCTGAAAATGAGCTTGGGCCTCTGTATTTTAAACAGTGGACATCAAAGCTATAAAACTATTGCTTAAGAAGAATATAAAATAAGAGAAATGTCTAGGTGGAGAAATTGCTCCTTGTCCACAATCACAAAAGAGAGAGGGAAAAAAAGAATTAAATTTGGCAACAGTATAAAGTACAAACCATGGCCTGGTGCCATTTTGGGGCTCAGTCCATCTGGGTTTCCATATGACCTAATAAATTTATAATTCTTTAATAAAATCAAATAAATAAATAAAAATAAAGTGCTGGTACAAATCATGAATGGTTAAAAGTATTCCTTCCTCACCATATTTTCTTTTCTTTTATATTTTTTTTATTGATTTCAGAGAGGAAGTGAGAGGGAGAGGTAGAAAAATCCATAATAAGAAATAATCATTGATCAGTTGCCTCCTGCACTCTCCCTACCTGGGCATGTGCCATGACTAGGAATCGAACAGTGACCTCCTGATTCATAGGTTGATGTTCAACCACTGAGTCACACCAGCCAGGTGCTTCCTCACCATGTTTCTAATATAGATATTAAAAAATATCTAGAATTGCAATTTTTAAAAAATCATTATGTATACACACATAAATAAATAGTTCTTATAGTCTAAGTATAAATGTTATTCTGAAGTTATGGTATAATGACATATTGTATATTGAGTTGGTATCTTGACAGGAAACCTCACTTTTTGAGAAATTTCATACTGGAAGACTAACTAGTCCAAGCATCATTCCTTATACACATTTGCATACTTAGGAGTCTGGTGAAGGGCCTGAGTTGATCAACTGTTAGTCCAGAAAGGACTAAAATTTACTTATACATATGAAAGGACAAAAAAAATATATATTTACTTATACATATGAAAGGACTAAATTTACTTATACAAAAATTTACTGATTTTTAGAGACAGAGAAAGGTAGAGGAAGAAAAAGACAGAGAAATTGACGTGAGAGAGAAAAATCAACCAGCCGCACCTCAACAGGGGATCAATTCCTCAACACAGGCCTGTGCCCTGACCGGGAATTGAACCAGTGACCTTGCAGTGCACAGGATGATGCTCAACCAATTGAACTACACTGGCCAGGACAGTCCTTTCTTAATAATACCTTGAATGGATAACAGATAAATGACAGGAACAAATCTCTTACCGCTGTAAGGGGTCCTTCCGCTTGTGCCTCCATTGGACTTGTGGGTGTTGCTGCAGTAAACTGACCACCAGCTCCAGCCTGGAGTTCTAGCCTATCTGTATATTGCTCTGAAGCAGCAGTGGCATAGCATTCCCCAGAAAGTGCTAAGATCACACCTGAGGTTTCCTTCTTTAAACGAATATTTTCTTCCCAAGGACCCAATCGGAGGTTTCCATCTTGAGGCGATTCTTCTAGAACTTGAAGTACCTCAGGCTCCTCATCAGAAGGGCTCCCTGCTGTTTTATGGCCTAAAGCCTCATTTGTCCTAAAATCCCGAAGGTCCTGCTCCTTGTCCACAATCACCCATTCTTTGGAATCAACCTCCTGCTTGCAAGAGCTCAAGTTAACAGCTATAAATCCATTGCTGCCGCCACCATCCGCCTGCTCAGGAGTATGGGCAGAGGCAGGCTTAGAAGCATCTGGAAGATATTCTTCATCATAGTTCCAGATGTGGTCAGTACGGGTCCCAGCAGGAACACAAGGCTTATGAGGCAGGGCAGGAAGAACAGGTTCCTTTCCTGCAATGGAATCTTTCTGCATTTTCTCCAGGCTTAAGAAAACAGAGAGAAGTTAATTGTCCAAGGGTAATACTTATTGCATAACCTATAAGCTCTATACAGAATTAATATTCACACAGAGATTAAAATAACACAGATAGTATGGGGGGGGCATTGGTATATGTATAAAGATAATAATTTAATAAAAAAATAAAAATAAATAAATAAAATAACACAGATAAAGCATAAGGAAAGTTTCACAGATTGATCATGCTCTTCTCTACTTTTCAGGATCTTGTTTGGGAAGATGGAGTGATGGGAGATTTCTCTCCTGCCTCAGAGAAGCCTAACTGGTTGACTTGTATGATCCACTTCATCTTTGCCTGGCCAATTCAATCACACTGCCCTCTGCTCTCTGCTCTCTCCTCTGAGGGACCGAGAACAATTTACCCGAAGGGCTTTTACCTCACCAGAAGCCCTACAAAAAGAAATAAAGAGGTCTGGCCGGTGTGGCTCAGTTGGTTGGGCATCATCCCATGTACCAGGAGGTTGCCTGTTCCAGTTCTGGTCAGGGCACGTGCCTAGGTTGAGGGCTCCATCCCCAATAGGGGGCATGCAGGAGGCAGCCAATTGATGCTGCACTGTCACATGGATGTTTCTCTGTCTCCCTTTCCCTTCCCCTCTCCCTCTAAAAACAAACAAACCGATAAACTATTTTATTATTATTATTATTATTATATTATTATTATTATTAAAATATATTTTATTGATTTTCTAGAGAAAGAGAGAGATAGAGAGTTAGAAACATCAATGAGAGAGAATCATCGATCAGCTGCCTCTTGCACACCCCCTACTGGGGATGTGCCCACAACCAACGTACATGCTCTTGACCGGAATTGAACCCGGGACCTTTCAGTCCCCAGACCAACGCTCTATCCACTGAGCCAAACCAGTTTTGGCTATTTTATTATTATTTTTTAATCTTTAATTTGAAAGTATTACATATGTCAATAAACTATTTTTAGAAAAAGGGAGCAAAGAAGCTAGTATACATAAGGAAAATACTTTCTGCATTTGTTTGTCTCTAGCAATGTATGCAAATATGTACTCATTCAATTATATCCTCCAAAGGCAAGGCTTTGAAGAAGAGCATGTACTGTACCTGCTCACCCACACCTAGCCCACTACGCACACACAACTCCAATAATGGTGCTTAGATGGGGGAAGCTTCAGGGTATATTTTCAGTTTTGTTGGATCAAGAGGCAGTTGACACTGTACATACAAATCTGAGGGGCAGACAACATAGTGTGACTGGTGGTGTTTGGCTACACTGCCTTCTGAGAACTGATCTCATCTGTAGGGAAGTAATTTAAGCAATACATTTTTTCCTTAAGTTTATAATTAGGTACTTCAATTCCTTATTCATTCTAGGTTCTGGATTGAGTTCATTTTATTTTCTTAATGTATTTTTATTCATTTTACAAAGAAGGAGTGGGAGGAAGATAGAAACATCAATAAGAGAAAAACATCAAGCCCTAACTGGTTTGGCTCAGTAAATAAGAGTGTCGGCCTGTAGATTGAAGGGTCCCAGGTTCAATTCCGGTCAAGGGCATGTACCTTGGTTTTGGGCACATCCCCAGTAGGGGGTGTACAGGAGGCAGCTGATTGATGTTTCTCTCTCATGGATATTTCTAGCTCTCTATTCCTCTTCTTTCCTCTCTGTAAAAAAATCAAATATATTTTAAAAAAGAGAGAGAGCGAGAGAGACAAACATCGATCAGCTGCTTCTAGCACACCCCCTACTGGGAATGGAGCCTGCAGCTGTGGCTTGTGCCCTGATCAGGAATAGAAGTGTGACCTCCTGCTTCATGGGCCCAATACTCAACCACTGAGCCACACCAGCTGGGCTTGAGTTCATTTTCTTGGATTACTTCTATTCTCAACTCTGTTTTCCCTCAGCATGTACTCTTTTTAAAAAGTTCTATTCTGCCTAGCCAGTTTGGCTCTACTGGATAGAATGTCAGCCTGCAGACTGAAGGGTCTGGTCAAGGGCACATGCCTGGGTTGTGGGATCAATTCCCAGTAGGGGGCATGCAGGAGGCAGCCAATCAATGGTTCTCTTTCATCCTTGATATTTCTATCTCTTTCTTCCTCTTCCATCCTCTCTGAAATCAATAAAAATATTAAGGAGAACCAAGATGCGGCATAGGTAAACACCTGTACTCACTGCCTCCCACAATATCAAAATTACAACTAAAATACAGAACAACTCTCATCCAGAACCGCTGGAAAGTTGGCTGAATGGAAGTATTACAACTAGAGAAGTAAAGAAAGCACACTGAGACTGGTAGGAAGTGTGGAGGCCTGCAATGGGCTGGTTCGAATCCATGTAGGCCACTTTTTTAATCAGGAGGGAGATCACATCTGAGAGGTTGCCCGGTGGAGCTCGGGGTCCCAGAGCAAGGGAAAGAAGTCCATATATGCAGTAAGAACTATAGGCTGTAAAAACCAGATTGGAGCTGAGTGACAAATAGGCTTCTGGAGACCCTGCTGCTCCTTTAAAAGGCTGGCACTGTGAACTGAATTTACAAGCTCTCACTTCCTCTGAGCTCCAATGCCCAGCAAGGCTCTGGAGTTCAAACACATATGGGGAGGAACTGGACTGTCTGACATTGGGGCAGGAAGTCGGGGGCAGCTTTGTTACAGACGGAGGTCATTGTCCCCATGCTGGGACTTCCCCAGAGCAGGGCTGACTGGAAGCCAATCTGTTTGCTCTGCTCTGGTGATTCTCTGAAATTTACAACCCCACCCATACCGTGCCCAGTGGCTTTTGCATTATGAATGGTCTGTCCTTTCTCAGGCTAAAAAAAATGTCAAACAAGCTGCAGCTGGGTCAGGGAGCCCCAAAACTATCAATAAAAGGCCTAAGACTTGACACCAGGACAACTGTGCCTTACTTCACAGCTGGGCCTCATCTGGGCACTTCCAAACGCCATACAAAGAGGAGGAATCTGCAGATCTCTCGGTAGCTCCTGCTTGGTGGCCCCAGGCAGTGGCTGACTTTGCACCTCCCTGGAGACCCAAGAGCTAGTGTACCCAGTGGTCAGTGTGAAACCATACTATTGAATAGATTACAACTCTTCACATCCATAAGTGACACACTCAAGGGGCAGACCCAGTGAGCACCAAAGACCCACTGAAGCAAGTCCTGCTCCATAAGGATGTCTCCTGGACAGCAGCTCTCCCAGTGTAATCACAGATGGCCCCCACAGCCAATTGGCTTGGAGGTCAATTCTTCCTAGTGACACCAATAGCAATCAAGGCTCAACTACAACACAACTCTGCACACAGCCAACTAAGGGGTTCACTAAGAGTGTCCACCTCAGGTGATTGGGGAAGCTGAGCCACTGGATCCTATAAGATACCTACTACTAGTACACAAAGTCACTCTATCAACTCAATTAAGACTTAGAAGCTACCCAATACATAGAAGCAAACACAGGGAAGCAGCCAAAATGCGGAGACAAAGAAACATGTCACAATGAAAGAAGTGGAAGAAAGAAAACTACTGGATATAGAGTTCAAAACCACAGTTATAAGTTTACTCAAGAATCTTCTAGAGCCGGGACCGGTTTGGCTCAGTGGATAGAGTGTCGGCCTGCGGACTGAGGTGTCCCGAGTTCGATTCCGGTCAAGGGCATGTACCTTGGTTGCGGGCACGTCCCCAGTGGGGGGCGTGCAGGAGGCAGCTGGTCGATGTTTCTCTTTCATTGACGTTTCTGACTCTCTGTCCCTCTCAATTCCTCTCTGTGTAAAATTAATAAAATATATTAAGGGGGGAAAAAAGAATCTTCTAGAAACTTCAGAGAAACTTAGTGAGACTTTTTAGGATATTAGTGAGAATGCCAAAAAATTGGAAGAGGACTAGTCAGAAATTAAGTATACACTGACTGAAATAAAGAATAACATACAGGGATTCAACAGTAGACTAGAGGATTCTGAGAATCAAATCAATGATTTGAAATGTGAGAAAGCAAAAAATACCCAAGCAGAAGAGCAAAAATAAAAAAGAATCCAAAAATATGAAGATGGTATAAGGGTCCTCTGGGACAACTTCAAGCATACCAACATCCAAATTATGGGGGTGCCAGAAGAAAAGAGAGAACAAGGTATTGAAAACTTATTTGAAGAAATAATGACAGAAAACTTCCCCCACCTGGTGAAAGAAATAGACTTACAAGTCCAGGAGCACAGAGAACCCCAAACAAGAGGAATCCAAAGAGGAACACACCAGGACACATCATAATTAAAATGCAAAGGGCAAAAGACAAAGAGAGAATCTTAAAAGTAGCAAGAAAAAAAAGTTAGTTACCTACAAGGGAGTGCCCATATGACTGTCAGCTGGTTTCTCAACAGAAAACAATGCAGGCCAGAAGGGAGTGGCAAGAAATATTTAAAGTGATGAATAGCAAGAACCTACAACCAAGATTATTCTACCCAGTAAAGCTATCACTTAGAATTGAAGGTCAGATAAAGACCTTCATAGATAAGAAAAAGCTAAAGGAGTTCATCATAGCCAAACCAGTATTATATCAATATGAAACGCTGAAAGGTATTCTTTAAGAAGAGAAAGAAGCTGAAGCCGGTTTGGCTCAGTGGTAGAGCGTCAGTCTGCGGACTGAAAGGTCCTGGGTTTGATTCCGGTCAAGGGAATGTACATTGGTTGCGGGCATATCCCTGGTAGGGGGTGTGCAAGAGGCAGCTGGTTGATGTTTCTCTCTCATCGACGTTTCTGGCTCTCTGTCTCTCTCCCTTCCTCTCTGTAAAAAATCAATTTTATATATATATATATATATATATATATATATATATATATACACACACACACACACACACACACACACACACACATATATATAAAAAAGAAGAAGAAGAAAAAGGTAAAGATAAAAAATATGAACAACAAAGTGACAACAAATATCTAGCAACAATTAAATCTAAAAATCAAATGAATAAAAAAAATCTGATGAACAGAATAAACTGGTGAATGGAATAGAATCAGGGGCATGAAAATGGAACAGAGGGAAGGTTGTGTGGGGAATACAGGAAGAGATTAGATCTTATATGCCTGTATGCAATACCGATTTCTATTTTTTTGTAAGACTAATTCTTTATCAAACTAAGCTTTTATCCACCTTTATATTTATCCCTAGTCTTAGCCACAACTCAAAATGTTTAAATACTGCCCCAACCCTAGTCCATTCTTTTGATCATATCAACATGTAGACACAAGCTTACATCACATAGCTGTGAGTTGAATGATTATAGGAAGAATATATTGCATCCATGAAGAACTGTTTAAAATGGAAGCCAAACTGGACTAGGCCAGAGTGGCTAAATTGTCTCCGGACAATTACTACCATGCCAAATACATGGTCCTTCTAACTATACTCCACTGCCAATAATAGCCACCAGGGATGTACCGTGAAGAATGTCAGTATCATTGAAGTCACTTGAGTATTAATATTGTTATTATTTTTAAAAATATATTTTATTGATTTTTTACAGAGAAGAAGAGAGAGGGAGAGTTAGAAACATTGATGAGAGAGAATCATCGATCAGCTGCCTCTTGCACTCTCCCTACTGGGGTGCCCGCAACCAAGGTACATGCCCTTGACCGGAATTGAACCTGGAACCTTTCAGTCCACAGGCTGACTCTCTATCCACTGAGCCAAACTGGTCTCGGCGAGCATTAATATTATTGAAGCCTTCTTAATTCATAAATATATCCCAAATTCTTTTAAACATTTCATTCTGTCTCGCCAAAACCGGTTTGGCTCAGTGGTAGAGCGTCAGTCTGCGGACTGTAGGGTCCCAGGTTCGATTCTGGTCAAGGGCATGTACATTGGTTGCGGGCACATCCCCAGGTAGGGGGTGTGCAAGAGGCAGCTGGTTGATAATTCTCTCTCATAGACGTTTCTAGCTCTCTATCCCACTCTCCTCCTCTCTGTAAAAAATCAATAAAATATATTTAAAAAGTAAAATAAAATAAAATAAACATTTCATTCTGTCTTTTATTATCAAAATTTGAGGACAATGGGCCTCATAACTGCAGTCATTATCAATGTATGGCTTTCTAAGTTTCACCTGTCCTCTCAAAGTTGATTGTGAGCTCTTTAAAGTCCTGTCTTTCCTTCTTTCTAGGTAGAATGATAAACTTATTCATGTCTATTTTCCCTACAGCACTACTCATAGAAGGCCTTCATTAAAATGAACTGACTTGTCTGTCCTTTGTGTATAAATGACTTTTCTCCCTCCTTCCTCCTTAATGCCTTCTCCAACTCTATACTGCATCTTCTCCATTCCAATAAGAGATCACCTTCCAAACAAAGACACTTCAAAATGTTCATTTAGCCGAAACCGGTTTGGCTCAGTGGTAGAACGTCGTTCTGCGGACTGAAAGGTCCCTAGTTCGATTCCGGTCAGGGGGCATGTACATTGGTTGCAGGCACATCCCAGGCAGGGGGTGTGCAGGAGGCAGCTGGTCAATGTTTCTCTCTCATCGACGTTTCTGGCTCTCTATCTCTCTCCCTTACTCTCTGTAAAAAAATCAATAAAATATATTTTAAAAAATGTTCATTTATTGACTAATTACTAACTAATATCTAGTATTATAAACTTACCAGCGCCCACTGTCCAGCTCCCAAAGCCAAAGGCTATGTTACAGGAATTGTAACAACATTAGGAGGCAATTTACAACAACAATCAAGATGGTAATTAAAAACATAGATAAGAGCTTAATCAAATCAGTGCTACACAAAAGCAAACATTTATTTGAAAGATTTTACATAATAAAAATTAATAAATAAAAATTTAAGATTATATTATCTTAGTTTTTAAAAAAGAGAAAAAACTATTTTATACCAGGTCTCAAGAAACTTGTCAGTATCTGGCTTTGGCTCTAGTGTTAGACGTTTTTCCAGCTCAAAGCTGTGGATGGAACGTAACTTTCGCACCAATGGAACATCTCTGTCTGGCTGAGTAATTTCTGAGCGGACACGAATTGGTGAACCAAGGCTTGGAGCATTCAGAACACCATTTGCTTGACCATGGCTATTCTCCTCTTCAGTAGCAGCCTAGATCAAATATAAAAGAAAATTATGAAAAAAATTCCAGTTACTATACATGATAATAATTGTTGAAGTCTTTCAACATAATATAACCAAATGCTTGGGATATGTTCTCACAAGATTAAAATATTTTGCCTAATTTAGGTCATGACATATTTTTCTCTTAACCCTTTTATTAAGTGAGCTTCCTTAATTTACTCTCAGTTTCAATATTATTTTAGTTTTTATACTTTTGGTACAAAGATAAACAATCTAAAAATGTTTAATAACCTTAGCTTTTTGTATTATGTCTAACTAGAAACTTCCAGGACCCCATCCACTAAACTAAAACTTAGGACATTCTCTTTGAGTCAGGTGGTTTCACAAGCAGTAAGAGAGGAAGCCACGCCTGCTGTGTAACCTCTATAAAAAACAAACAAGAATAAGGAAACTTGGTGTTTGAACAATAAGGACCTGGGTGGAGCAGGAGGCTGCTGGCATTGGGCAGCACAGAAGGGTGGGGCTACTTAGGGACAGATGCCTACAGCAGTGCAATTATGAGGGAAATTAAGATTTATACTAGTGGTGGGAGGGAAGAGGGAAATCTGGGATGTCTTTCTCATTAAAGACCCTCAAGATGTGCAAATGGTCTCCAACAAGGAGTTCACTTTGGCTACCAGCAGAAGCAGTAGATAATCTTCTCTGAAGGAAGGTTTCTCCACTTCCCAATTTGGGTCTACAGAACTCCTACCAATTATTAATTAAAGAGTAAAACATTAAAGATAGTCAAACAAGCTCTGGCCATGTGGCTCACTTGGTTGGAGTGTCACCCCACACACCAAAAGGTTGTGTGTTCCATCCCTGGTCTGGGCACGTACGGGAGTCAATCAATTGGTGCTTCTCTCTCACACCCATGTTTCTTTCTTTCTCTCTCTCAAATCAATAAAAAATAAATACATATCCCTGGGTGAGGATTAAAAAAAAAAGATAGTCACACACATGAGAAGGCAATGCCACCTTGACTGAGTCAGCAGAATTTTTTTAAGTGTAAGCTTCCCCAAATCATCAGCCATCAAACTGTTTCAGATAAAGAATAGAGAATAGCTAGGCATAAAATGTTTAAATAAATGAAGGCCATTATCACAAAGATTAACAAAGGATTATTTGGAATTAACAGATAAATTTAATATTAAATATTCTATTAACAAGTTAAATATATTAGCCATAAAAGGCTACAGTTATTAATTAGAGGATTAGAAGACAGAAAAAGAAATTACCTGGTATGAAGCACAGCAAGGTGTGAAAAATATGAAAAAATATACTAAAAGATATGACAGAATAAAAAGGCATAATATATGTTTAATTGGAATCCCAGAAAGAGAACAGAAAGAATGAAAATGTGACAATATTTAGGTAGAGAATGACTGTGTATCTTCCAGAACTGATAAAAAAAAAATTATGAATCAAAGATTCAGAAAACATAAAACATCCTAAGCAGGATAAACAAAAAGAAATATATGTGCAGATACATTGTAGTTAAAACAGCAGAACACCTAAGAAAAAAAGTAAAGCTAAAAAGTATTGGGATGGGAGGCCAGGTGGAATGATCATACACTCACATACACAAACATATACAAACAAAATCAGAGTGACAGCAGACCATTTATACCAATAGATGAAGCAAGAGGAAAAATAATTGTCGATCAAGAACTTTAAACCCACTGTGCCAAATCAGCTAAAAAACATATCTGCATGTGTATTTGCTGTATATGTGTGTATCAGAAAAAATAACCGCATAGAAGGATGTACCCAGGCTATTAACACAGGTTATCTGGTTTAGGAGATATTGGATATTTTTTATTCATTTGTTTTTTATAAATATATTTTATTGATTTTTTGCAGAGAGGAAGAGAGAGAGATAGACAGTCAGAAACATCGATGAGAGAGAAAAATCAATCAGCTGCCTCCTGCACCCCCTCCACCGGGGATGCGCCCGCAACCATAGTACATGCCCTTGACCGGAATCGAACCCAGGACCTTTCAGTCCGCAGGCCAACATTCTATTCACTGAGTCAAACTGGTTTCGGCAGATATTGGATATTTTAAAAAATGTATCAAATAATATTTTACCAGCTCAGTTAACTTTTGTCACTCCAGTAATTTTTGAAGATGAATTTTATAAAAAGACTGATCAATCAAAAAAAGAAAAAAAAGGAAGAACTTTAAATCCAATAAGAAAGAAAAAAACCGCCAAAACCGGTTTGGCTCAGTGGACAGAGAGTCAGCTTGTGGACTGAAAGTCCCAGGTTCAATTCCGGTCAAGGCCATGTACCTTAGTTGCGGGCACATCTCCAGTGGGGGTGTGCAGGAGGCAGCTTATTGATGTTTCTCTCTCATCGATGTTTCTGGCTCTCTGTCTCTCTCCCTTTCTCTCTGTGAAAATTCAATGAAATATATTAAAAAAGAAAGAAAGAAAGAAAGAAAGAAAGAAAGAAAGAAAGAAAGAAAGAAAGAAAGAACGAACCCCATTTTGAATCCAGCATAACTATCATTAAAGAATTAGGCTGGTTTTGCTGAATGGTTAGAACAGTGGCCCTACGATCAAAGGGTCAAGGGTTTGATTCCCAGTCAAGAGCAGGTGTGATTCCCAGTCAAGAGTAGGTTTGACACCCAGCTCTAGTCAGGGCACACATGTGCAGAAGGCAACTTGTCTATATCTTACACTGATGTCTCTCTCTCATCCCCTCTTTCCTCCCTTTTATTCTCTAAAAATCAATGAAAAAAATATCCTCGCATGAGGATTAAAGAAGAAAAAAGAATAAGGCTAAAATAAATACATTTACTGCTAAGAAAAAAGTGAGAGTCTCTACCAAAAAATCTCAACTAAAGGAACTTCCAAAGGAAATATTTCAGGGAGAAGGGTGAGTCCAGATTTAGAAAAGAAAATAAGAGCCAAAACCGGTTTGGCTCAGTGGTAGAGCGTCGGTCTGCAGACTGAAAGGTCCCAGGTTCGATTCCGGTCAAGGGCATGTACATTGGTTGTGGGCACATCCCCGGTAAGGGGTGTGCAAGAGGCAGCTGGTCAATGTTTCTCTCTCATTGATGTTTCTAGCTCTCTATCCCTCTCTCCTCCTCTCTGTAAAAAATCAATAAAATATATTTTTTAAAAAAGGAAAAGAAGAAAAGAAGAAAGATGAGTCCAAGACTTCCCAAAATGGAAGGAAATGGTAAACATCTTTTAAAAATTAATATAAACATTCCTTGTATGAAAGTTCAACATCACTAATATCTTATTTTTTTTTAAGTATGGAATTAAAAATAGAAGAGAACTAATAAAGATTAAATAGTGATAATTGGTGAAAGGAAACTAAAAACTTATGCCAATTACCAAACTTATGCCTCTCATATACACAGACACCCATATGGGCTGGCAACTAAATGTGGGTTTTTTGTGTGTGTGTGTGTTTTGTTGTTGTTTTTACCATGAGAACAGTTTGCTCCTGGTGCCATAAAGACAGCCATAGCTACATTCCAAAAATCTGACAGTGATCTGACAATTCTTTCACTACTTACTCCTGATTACTATTAGTCCAAATAATGCATATTTAATAGCCAGACCGCAGTGCACCATATCACACGTACACAGAGAAAATTTTTGCAAATGACTCCCATGACTGAAAATATACACTATTCTAAATTATATAGTTAATTCCTCAGAAGTGATTGTAGAGAATTCTTTTCAAGATATATTCCTCATTCATAAAGCATGACTAGCCAACTTTCTATCCGTCGTGCTAACAGGTATGAGCCCTAAGTCTTATTTTACACACTTATGAACTTAACCTTTTTTGCAACTAACCCTTAAAACATAGGAAGTACCAAAAACTGATTTCTAATTCCTTGCCCCTACATACTATTTATCTTCATATAATCTTCTATGAAAATGGAAATGATGAGGAATAGTAAGATCAGAGAGAAATTTGTGGAAAATTACTAAAAATTAATCATTCAATTTAGAAATCTATCTTTCCCCATACTTACAAGTAGACCTACTTGCAATTCTAATGAAGAAAAAAATCATGTCATTTGTTCAACATCCACATTGTCAACTCATAAACAGTTGTGTGGTGCTTCCCACCTCCAACTCTCCCTTCCCCACCTCCATCTAACAGTTTCAGAATGGGTACTCATAGCTCTATCAGTCCATACCAAAGGAGTCCAGGGTCTTGTCACATTATTTATAAAGACTATTAACTTCTGTTCAATAGATGTCTCTTATTTTTTCTGAAGGTCTAGTTAGTTGTGTTTTTTTTTTTTTAATATTTTTATCTTTTTCACAAAATATAAGATGAAGATTAATATTTGGTATCCATACTTCAATATTTTGGGCAAAATTAAAAAAATACTGCAACTACAAATACAGAAATAACTAGCAATACTGTCTACTTCTCATTCAAAATTGAGAATCATTATACTTCGCTACAGGAGAAAATAAGTAAACAGAAAGATATTACTTCCTATGCAAGAAATACACACCTTACAAATTCCAAACTTTATCTTGTTCCTGTTGGCATCCATCTCTTCCCAGACATCCTTCTCCTGGGGATGAGTGTGTCCCAGAGATCCAGGCAATTTATCCGGTGACATACCAACAGGGATGCCATTCTCCCCATCACTGAGATGTTCATCTGGAAACACCTCATCCGTATTTTCTCTAAGCAAGTCCCCTGGGATGGGAGTGGCATTAGCAATTCTAAAAATGAGGGGTGAAGAAAAGGTAGAATTTAAAAACACCAGAATCAAAAATTACGAGACTATTTTCCATTTTGTTTCTGGAGTTAAATGATGAAGTCTATATATCATTACAAGAGTAAAGCAAAACAAAACTCAAAACCTTGGAAATAGGCTGTGACAATTCTACAAAATAAAACTTGTACATTTTGATCAACAGAATTTTCAACCTGATTTAAAAATAAAAATTCTAATATAATAACTCACTAACTTAATAATTACTTTAAAAGTTAGAAACATTTGGTCTATGTTCCAAGAAGTCTTTTACAAATTTTTGTTTTTTTACCCATTTTTTCTCAGAGAACAACAAAAACTATAAACAGGAAAATGTTAATAATAATAATAATAATAATATAAGCAGGTATCAAATCATAAGTTATGCTTTGAATAGTGTAAAATGTGCATTTTTTTTTCATTTACAGACTTTTACTAAATACCTATTCCATGCAAGGCCTTAGGAGACGAAAAGAAGAAAAAGGAAATTCTTGCCCTCTAGGGGGAATAGAAAATTTGCAATTACACAGTTTTATACAGCTGCATGAACTGACCAGGAATGATACAGAAAATATAAATTGGCACTTTGTTTATACAATATATTGCTTTCAAAGTAACTTCATGTCTGTTTATATGGTTGGTCATCTCTTAGACTTCTGGCCCATGAAAGGCGCTTCTAGTTCTGTTATCACTAGTGATTAGGCCCCTGCCAGCTCTAACTTTCAATGACTCTACACTATACTCAATTTTTAAAAATACTGCTGACTGAACACAATATTTAGTACAGAATGAAACCTTTTCCTAGATCTGGAAGGTTTAAAAGTAGAAAACCAGCCTTCAGTGGATTATACTGACATACCGTATTTTTCGGACCATAAGACGCACCAGTTTTTAGAGAAGGGAAATGAAGAAAAAAGATTCTGAAACAAATAGTGTCCTAAAATATTTTATGTGCATTAAAACCCAACATCACAGTCATAAACACATGTAATCAACCTTGTAAAGTAAACAGCAGCATTTAGAACCATTTTAGAGCCGGGCAAGCACACAGAGACCACACAGAGCCGGGCAAGTAAAAAAACTTTTTTTTTAAAGTATATGTGTAGGCTATATTTGGACCATAAGACGCAGGGACTTTTCCCCCCCACTTCTGGGGGGGAAAAAGTGCATCTTATGGTCCGAAAAATACGGTAATTATTATGAGTGATAAAAGAGGCATCTTAGTGCACCACTCTAAGGATAACATTACACGCTGGCCCAGATGTCATAAATGCCATGCTGTGAGAACAAAGATCAGTCATTTTCAGGGACTTGCCAATAGGTTAGAGGTAAGCAATATAGAAAAGCATTGGCCATGGCTCTCAGGAAAGAAACTTATAGCCTTGTAAAGTAGTACCTGTAGTTCTGACACCAAGAACATCTTGAAAAGGTAAGTTTGGCCTAAAGTATCAATAGTTCAAATGAACAGATTTATTATAAAAGTAAAGTTCAGGAGGGGGATGAGTAGAGGTAGAACAGGGCATAGAGGGAATAAATGGTGATGGGGAAAAATTTAATTTAAAAGAAGTTAAGAAATAAATTTTTCAGGTGTAAGTTCAATATAATTTATTTATATAAGGACTTACAGTAGACATTAACATATATTACATGGCATACCAAATATTTATTGAAAGAATTCCCCCTATCCTGAGGAAAGGGACTTGCAAAAGGAAAAATATTTGAGTTCAGGAAGTTCAATCTACTAGCCCCACATCACCCCACCCCCCAGCCCTGTGTTAATCACTGAGTGTTCTTCCAAAGTCTTTTTTCCACATGCCTACTACTCTGCCTCTTTCCAACTACCAATTCCTTGGCATTTTCTTCTTCCGCTCCTCCACCTATAATCTGCTGCTATTTTAAAAATATTGATATATATATTTTATCGATTTTTTTTCAGAGAGGAAGGGAGAGAGATAGAAAGCTAGAAACATCGATGAGAGAGAAACATCGACCAGCTGCCTCTTGCAGCTGGGGATGTGCCCGCAACCAATGTACATGCCCTTGACCAGAATCGAACCTGGGATCTTTCAGTCCGCAGACCGACGCTCTACCACTGAGCCAAACCGGTTTCGGCAATCTGCTGCTATTTTCACTCTATATTAATTTCCCTCGTATCTCTTAAGACTTCAATACCACACACTTCCAGGAGCTCTTCCACACTCTCCACACAGCTCTGGTTCCTCTCTGTACTTATTCTCCCACTTTTACTCCTTACATTATTTTCTTCTCCTAACATTCTGATCAAAACCTGGATTTTGAGGTACAAAGGAAAGAATTCCTTTCCAGAGAAATTATGTTAAGGAATAAGAATGAGAAAGTACATATGAGAGTATTATGTTAAAGAATAAGAATGTGTGATAAAATATTCGTGCGAGTATCGTGTTAAGGAATAAGAATGAGTAAGAAAGTATGTGTGAAAATATTTTTAGCATGTGGTCTGTGTTTGCAGGCTAGATATAAATTACAGAAGCAGATTAGGGGAAAAAGTGAGGTGTGTGGGAGAACTGGAAAAGTAGTAAGAATAGACATCCTTTTCATATTCCCTTCCCCATAATTTAAGTCAGGGGCTGGCAAACTAAGGCTTCTGAGCCAGATCTGGCCTGCTCACCTATTTTTTGTTAATACAGTATTTTGGCACACATTCACTCATTTGTTTTCATGTTGTCTATGGCTGCTTTAGCACTACAACAGCAGCGATAATGGAGACAGATAGCAGTCCACACATTTTTATCTGGCCCTTTACAGTTAAGATTGCTGACTTCTGATCTAAAACATCCTCCTACCTTTTCCGGAACTTTCTTCTTCTAGTAATAAATTCAGAGTTGTGGGACATACATAATCATTTTTTTCTCTTTAACAATGATTCTCTAGGACTTTCTAATTATTATGCCTCCATAACAATTGCGAACAGAGAATTCAGCAAACTTTTTTTTTTTTTTTAGAGAGTGGGAGTGTGGGGAGAGAAACGTCGATGTGAGAGAGACATATTAATTGGCTGCCTCTCACACATGCCCTGGGATCGAACCTGCATCCTAGGTAGGTACATGCCCTTGACTGGGTATCAAACCCAAGGCCCTTCAGTGTGCAGGCCGATGCTCTAACCACTAAGAACACCAGCCAGGGCAGCAAACTTTTTCTTAAAGGGTCAGATAGTAAATGGTAATCTTGTAGATCTAATACTTATTTTTTTCCAATTCAGCTAGTTTAAATTCTGTGCAGTCTTTAAGCTGTGGGCTCATATGTATTATACAAGTTATCAGTCTGCCTTTAAAAAAAAAAGTATTTTATTGATTTTTTTACAGAGAGGAAGGGAGAAGGATAGTTAGAAACATCGATGAGAGAGAAACATCCATCAGCTGCCTACTACACACTCTCTACTGGGGATGTGCTCACAACCAAGGTACATGCCCTTGACCAGAATCGAACCTGGGATCTTTCAGTCCACAGGCTGACCCTCTATCCACTGAGCCAAACCAGTTAGGGCATCAGTCTGCCTTTTCAAAGGCACTTCAACTTATAAATACCATGCTAGGTATTTATACCATTCCTCACCAGTAAAACGAGACCAAGTTAACTACCCAATCAACTAACGAAAGGAAAGCTAGTCCTTCACTGTCTGCCTCCCATTTGCACTACATTTACCCTATCTCTTTTAAATGATTTTTTTTTCTTTCCCCCCAATTTTACTCAATATCCTTTATCAAATATTCATTTGAGTCTATTCTTCATTGTACATTTTATAATTTACTAAATTTTGAAATATCTTTTTTCTTTTCTTTCAAGTTTCATTTCTTTTTCTCTGTTTTCCTTTTCCTTTTTCTCTCCCTGAACCCACCCCTTTTGGGGTCTATTTCTTTTTTTAAAATATTTTTTTTAATCAATTTTTCCATTACAGTTGACATAAAAAATTTTTTAGTTTCAAGTATACAACATAGTGATTAGATATTTATATTCCTTAAAAAGTGATCACCCCAATAATTCTAGTATCCATCTGACACCATAACTAGTGTTATGATAACAGACTTACTAGAGGCCTGGCCTGTAGGGATTGGGCTGAAACCGGCTCTCTGACATCCCCCGAGGGGTCCTGAATTGCAAGAGGGTGCGGGCTACACTGAGGGACCCACCTGTGCAGGATGGGCTCGGGGTGGAACACGGTAGGGCTCGAGGGCGTGTCCAGCCATCTCGCCCAGGCACCAGCAGCAAACCACCTACCGGTTGGAACATCTGCCCCCTGGTGGTCAGTGCATATCATAGCAATTGGTTGAATAGTTGAACAGTTGGACTCTTAGCATGTTAGACTTTTATTATATTGGATTCCCTATGCTTTGCTTTATATCCCTGCGACTATTTTTTTTTATAACTGGCATTTTATACACTTAATCCTTTTCACCTTTTCTACCTAAACCTGCGTAGAGGTGGGGGTATCTATTTCTCTTCTTAGTTTGAGATGGTTATCCATATCTTCAAACAAATGAGCATGTTTAATTCCATTTTGGCTTTTGTCTTAAGTTTTCTTTCTTTCTTTTAATAACTTTCTTTATGGTTATCCCTCCTATCCCACCCCCAATAATTACTTTTTTCTTTCTTTTTTAAAATATTTTTATTGATTTCAGAGAGGAAGGGAGAGATAGAAGCATCAATGAGAGAGAATCATTGATCAGCTGCCTCCTGCACACCTCCTACTGGGGATCAAGCCTGCAACCCAGGCATGTGCCCTTGACAGAAATCGAACCCGGGACTTGTCAGTCCACAGGCTGATGCTCTATCCACCAGGGTACTTTTTTCTTTTTTCCATCATCACATGGTTGTTTTTCTGAGAGGAAATGTCCTTAGTTAGTATGTTATTAAATTTTCAAATTTCTTACTATAATACTTTATGGAACTTTAAAATCTTTTTGTTGTTCATTTTTGTGTTATTGGAGTATTTTACAAGATTCATAGTTTAATTAGTGCCATCTTCTGTCAGTATAGCAAAGTCCAAACATTTGAGTGGATTTATGTTTTTTGTGGTTAGGGGAAATACTTGTGTCATCTGATTTCATAGGTCTCCAATTCTTATAATTAGATGATGTAATTAAATTTTTCTCTCCTTTTGTTCCTCTGGAATTATTGATTTATTGCCTTTTAGCTACATATCCATCCTTTATTCCTGTTTTATGAAAGTGGATTTGAGCCCTGTAGATATTTTCCTTCCCCAGCTGGCACTGGAAGGAAACTGCAGGAGGAGAGTGCTCTGCTTCGGGTTCCAGTGTACAGCTCGGCAAGCTTCTCCAGCACGTGTGGCTCTCCCCACTGCGGGCATCCTGCAGCACTGGGGCCTCTTCAGGGCCTGTCTCACACAGACAGCAGCAAACAACAGCTTTCCTGAGCAATCCCACCACCCACGGGTTTTGTAGTAGAATGTGTCTGGTAAGATACCCCCAGTAAATAGCTTTCTTTGGTCCCCAGAGGGCAGATTTCCAGCAAATCTAACCAGGTTGGCATCAGAGTGACCTCTCTCCCATCCGACGAGGGATGGGCATACCTTCTTCAACAAGCTCAGTATATACCTCAGCTTGAGATCTGGACTGGGGAGCTTTGTTTGGATGCTTAATCTCGGCCCTAGGCCTAGGAGCTGCACTTTATATTTGCTATTCCTGTATTCTTTACACTTCTCTCTATTTCTTACTAGTTAATCCCATGTTACTCCAATTCTGTTATAGGTAATGATTCTTTCCTTGTTCAAATTACTATGTAGTTTCTCTCTCCTGATTGAACCCAAATAAATACATGTTTTGTCCTTCAAAAATCAACCTCTCCCTTCTTTGTTGTTTTTTCTTCCCCAGAAGCTATATGTTCTGAATCATACATATTATACTTACCTAAAGTTGGGTAGTTCACTCATTTATAAAATGGGGTGGCTGGCTGGGGGTTCCAAACTCAGATAAGCATGAAAAACATCTGATAAATATGATTAAGTGGTTCTTGGCTAAGTCCTTCAAATAGATATCTTAAGCAAATGTGTGGTGATTCTGATGTAGCTAGTCAGGGTCCCACATTTAAGAATTCTTAAGCTAGCTAACTAAGAATAACATGTACAGTTATATGAGTCCATGTAAGCTTTTCTGATAAATAAGCTTTAGGTATCCAATCTTTTAGTATAAAATCAAAGCAGTAGATTAGTAATAAAATGTCCCAATTAACTCACATTGTATGAGGATTTTTTACAATTTACTTTTTAAGCAAACAGTTTAAAGCAACTAGAGCAGGTAGAAAATGAATCAAACAAAAGAAGACAACCTGTTTCCCCAAAGCAACTGTTTATGCCCACAGAGAAAACAACACAAAAGACCAAGAAGATAGAAACACCATACCCTGTTTCTAATACACTTTGAAAATTAATCACTCTTGTAAGAGGAACAAGCTACATATTTTGTTCCCACTAAACCTAAGCACAGTATAATTAGATATACTTTGGCTCATTCTGTCCAGGATCCCATGTATTCTTTAGAAGTAAATGTAACAAATGCTCCTCATTTTTAAAATGAGAAAACCCACTGTAAACCTGACATCAACTCACACAAGCTCTAAGGTCCCATTTCACAGTATGATCCATAAACACTTTCTATGAACAGTACACCTGAAAAAGGCATATACAGAGCAATGTTAATTCAAGAAAACCCATAGGCTTTCACCTATGTCTTAGCATTTGGTCATCTGTAGGAGTCTGAGTGAAAACATTTCTGCCAGTATAATGCATCCAGGAAATACTGCTAAATGAGCAGCTGAGGACATACCCGATTGCCGCAGGGGTCAAGCGGGTATGCAACTGAGGGGTGGTAGAAGTAGTGGTGGTTGTTAGGGAGCCATCAGTTCCAGTCTTCTCCCAGTCAAAAGGGTCACTCTCAAATACTCCAAAGGTTTTGATGCTGTTGTCAAACACCGATGTAAGAAGCTAAACCACAAAGAAGAAAAAAACTAGAGTAAGCCAATAGTAAACAACATCAATTTATTCTTTAAAGAGAAAGCACCCAGATTCATGAACTAGTTTTGTAGATTTTAAAAAACAACAAAACCTGATGGCCTGGTCAGTGTGGCTCAATGGTTGAGGGTTAGCCAATGAACCAGGAAGTCACAGTTCAATTCCCGGTCAGAGCACATGCCCAAATTGCCAGCTTGGTCCCCAGTGGGGGGCATGCAGGAGGCAGCCAATCAATGTTTTTCTCATCTATGTTTCTATCTATTCCTCTCCTCTCTAAAAAAATCAATTAGAAAAAAAAAAAAAATAACACCAAAAAACCATGACGATACAAAGAGGGGAATTTGAATAAGGATTGTATGTGGATGATAAACTAAATTACTATTGAATTTTCTCAGTTGAAGCACTAGTTTGTAGTGAGTAGAATGTCTTTGTCCTTGGAAGATGCATACCTACTTTTGGGTGGTTTAGCAACAAGAAATATGTGTTGTATGTATATATGTATATTCAATTTCAACAATCTACATAATCTATTTTGTGTGTATGTGTGTTTTTGTCAACAGGGGCATTTCTATATGGTTCAAATGAAATAATGAAATAAGTGGCCAGTGTTAATAGCTGGTATGTAAAGGTTAAGAGACATACAGAAATTCATTATGCTTTTTATGTTTCTTTTTTGTGGGTTTAAAAAATTCTTAAACTGTGTGTGTGTGTGTGTGCATACACAACTATAAAAAATAAAATCTGCCACCCTAGCCAGCATGGCTCAGACCGAAGGGTCCTGGGTTTAATTCTTCATCTAGGGCACATGACTCAGACATGAAGAAGAAATAAAAGGCATCCAAATTGGAAAAGAAGAAATAAAACTGTCCTATACACAGATGACATGATACTATACATAGAAAACCCTAAAGACTCCATCAAAAAATTATTAGACTTAATAAATGAATTCGGCAATGTAGCAGAATACAAAATTAATGCCAAGAAATCTATGGCATTTCTTTTGTAAAAAAATAAATCTTTATTGCTCAGATTACAAATGTTCCGATTCCCTGCCATCCCCCATAGCTCTCCTCCACCCGGTTCCCACCCCACCCTCTGCCCTCAACCCCCCCCCCCCCCCCACTGTCCTCATCCATAGGCGTGCGATTTTTGTCCAGTCTCTTCCCACACCCCCAACACCCCTTTCCTTCCGAGGATTGTCAGTCCACTCCCTTTCTATACCCCCGATTCTATTATATTTATCAGTTTATTCTGTTCAACAGATTTTTTTATTCACTTTTTTTTAGAGTCACTTGTTGATAGATATGTATTTATTGTTCATAATTTTTATCTTTACTTTTTTCTTCTTCTTCCTTTTCTTGAAGAATACCTTTCAGCATTTCACATAATACTGATTTGGTGGTGATGAACTCCTTTAGCTTTTTCTTATCTGTGAAGCTCTTTATCTGACCTTCAATTCTGAATGATAGCTTTGCTGGATAGAGTAATCTTGGTTGTAGGTTGGTTCTTGCTATTCATCACTTTGAATATTTCTTGTGACTCTCTTCTGGCCTGCATAGTTTTTTTGTTGAGAAATCAGCTGACAATCATATGGGTGCTCCCTTGTAGGTAATTAACTGTTTTTCTCTTGCTGCTTTTAATATTCTCTCTCTGTCTTTTGCTCTTGGCATTTTAATTATGATGTGTTTTGGTGTGGTCCTCTTTGGATTCCTTTTGTATGGGGTTCTATGTGCTTCCTGGACTTCTAAGTCTATTTCTTTCACCAGGTAGGGGAAGTTTTCTGTCATTATTTCTTGAAAAAGGTTTTCAGTGTCTTACTCTCTCTCTTCTTCTCACACACCCATAATTTGGATATTGGAACACTTGACATTGTCCCAGAGGCTCCTTACTACTAGCTTCATATTTTTGGTTTCTTTTTTTTTCTTTTTTTCTTTTTTGCTTTCCTGGTTGGGTGTTTTTTGCTTCTTTGTATTTCAAATCTTTGACTTGATTCTTATGATCCTCTAGTCTGCTGTTGGATCTCTGTATATTATTTTTTATTTCAGTCAGTGTATGCTTAATTTCTGATTAATTTCTTAATTCCCCTTTTCATATCCTTGAGGGTCTCGCTAAATTTATCAGCCTTTTCTAGAAGATTCTTGAAAAACTTTATAAACGTGGTTTTGAATTCTATATCCAGTCATTTGCTTTCCTCCATTTCTTTCACTTGTGACCCTCTTTGTCTTTGCATTTTGGCTGCTTCCCTGAATTGATAAGAGTGGTTTTGTGTGCTAGGTGTCCTATAGGGTCCAGTGGCTCTTCAGTTACCTGAGGTGGACACTCTTGGTGCACCCCTTTGTGGATTGTGTGCACAGGCTTGTTGTAGTTAAGCCTTGATTGTTGTTGGTATCACTGGAAGGAATTGACCTCCAGGCCAATTGGCTGTGAAGATCAGCTGTGTCTATGATGGGAGAACTTCTGTGCTGGAGACACCCTTATGAGATAAGACTTGCTTCAGTGGTGCTTTGGTGCTCAATGAGTCTGCCCCCTGAGTGTATCCCTTATGGATCTGAGGAGTTGCAATCTGGATGGGTACACTGGCTCTTGGATCTCCAAGGAGGTGCTAATTTAGCCTCTCCCTGAGGCCACCCAGCAGGAGCTAAGGAGAGATCTGCAGATTCCTCTTCTTTGTTTGGGTTTTGGGGGTGTCCAGATGAGGCCCAGCTGTGAAGCAGTGCTACCTGCTGTGGAGCCTTGGGCCTTCTTTTGGATGTTCTGGGTCTCTCTGACTCAGCTGCAGTTTGTTAGGTAAGTTTAAAATTCAAAGGACCAGGCCATTCATATGCAAAAGCCTCTGCACTCAGCTTGGATGGGGCTAAGTCTCAGGGTGGAACAAACAGCAATGCCTTCCTGTCAGCCCTGCCCTAAGAGGACCCAGGTTCTCAGTGTCCCACAGTAATCGCTGCAAGCACCTCCGAGAGAAAGCCGCCCTCGAGTTTTGCCTGCTGCCTGACAGTCCAGTTTCTCCCCATATGAGTCTGGGTCCACAGAGTCTCACCCGGAACTGAAGTTCAGAGCAGTTGGGAGCTTTTGTCTCCCTCCTGACTGAGAAAGCCAGGCATGTACTCAGTTGCCAGCCCTCTCTGCATCTCAGTGTGCTTTTTGCTTTCCTTTTAGTTGTAGAATTTCCACTGAGCCAGTTTTCCTGTGGTTCTGGATAATGTCCGTTTTTATCTTTTAGTTGTAGTTTTGAAATTGTTTTGCGAGGCACCAGTTTAGGTGTTTATCTATGCTTCCATTTTGGTTTCTCTTATGGTATTTCCTTATACCAATAGTGAACTTACAGAAAGAGAGACTAAAAAAGTAATCCCATTTACCATCACACTAAAAAAATTAAGATATCTAGGAATAAACTTAACTAAGGAGTTAAGAGACCTATATACGAAAAACTACAGGACACTGAAAAAAGAGATAGAGGGAGACATAAACAGATGGAATAACATACCATGTTCATGGATTGGTAGAATCAACATCATCAAAATATTCATACTATCCAAAGTAATCTATAGATTCAATGCAATCCCCATTAAAATACCAACAGCATATTTCAGAGACCTAGAACAAACTCTCCAAAAATTCATCTGGAATAAAAAATGACCCCAAATAGCTGCAGCAATCTGAGAAACAAAGTAGGTGGGATCTCAATACCAGATTTAAAGCTGTATTACAAAGCCACTGTTCTTAAAACATCCTGGTAATGGCACAAGAACAGACATATAGATCAATGGAATAGAGTACCCAGAAAGTGACCCAAACCACTATACCCAATTAACATTCAACAAAGGAGACATACAATGCAGTCTCTTCAATAAATGGTGTTGGGAAAATTGGACAGATACATGCAACAAAATTAAACTAGATCACCAACTTACACCATACACAAAAACAAACTCAAAATGGATAAAGGACTTAAACATAAGAGAGGAAACCATAAAAATACTAGAGAATCCACTGGCAGCGAAGTCTCAGACATATACCAAAGCAATTTCTTCTCTGATACTGCTCCTAGGGCAATGGAAACTAAAGAAAAAATAAACAAATGGGACTACCTAAACATAAATGGCTTTTGCACAGCAAAGGAAAACATCAACAAAACAACAAGAAAGGCCACTGCATGGGAGGACATATTTGCCAATGTTATCTCTGACAAGGGTTTAATCTCCAACATTTACTCATACAACTTAACAAAAGGAAGATGAACAACCCAATCAAAAAATGGGCAATGGACCTAAATAGATACTTTTCAAAAGAAAACAGAAGGAAGGCCAAGAGACATTATGGAGTTTCCTCAAAAAACCAAAAATGGAACTCCCATTTGACCTAGTGATCCCACTTCTAGGTATATCTATATCTCAAGAAGCTAGAAACACCCATCAGAAAGGATATATGCACCCTTATGTCCACAGCAGCACAATTTACCATAGTTAAGATTTGAAAACAACCTAAGTGCCCATCAGCAAATGAGTGGATTAAAAAACTGCGGTACATCTACACAATGGAATACTATGCTGCAGTAAAAAAGAAGGAATTCTTACCATTTGCAACAGCATGAATGGGACTTGAGAGCATTATGCTAAGTGAAATAAGCCAGTCAGAGAAAGATAAATATCACATGATATATTACATATATGTATGTAATATAATGACCAACATAAACTGATGAACAAAAACAGATCCAGAGACAGAGAAGCATCGATCAGACCGTCAAACCTCACAGGGAAGGTAGGGGAGGGTGGGTGAAAGGAGGAGAGATCAATCAAAGGACTTGTACGCATGCAAGTGTCTTATATTAATTTTTGCTCCCAAAGATGCGCTAGGTCTTATTTTCAGGGGATGTCTTATTTTTCCATGAAGAAGAATTGTTACACATTTATTGTTAATGAAAATAAAGGAAATTTATTACCTGTATACAGTACGGTAGTACGGTAGTTGTC